CAAAACCTGCATCTTTAGCGTAAAATATAAAAATATATATTCACTATAGATCTGCACATTGCAGATAAGCACTGTCTGCAGTTTCAGATGTTCTTGCCTGGTGGCCTTGTGTTATGTTCACCAGCGGCTCTGCACCTTCTGACCTACATAAACACGGCTCGTGCACCGATACGCCAGCTGTGGTGATGCAGAATCCGTCTGGTTGACTGTGATGCTACGTAGTCTACGACCTTAAGAAGGAGCAGGTTGTGTATGAAAACACACGCCACCGTGCGTCACCAGGAGACCGCGATGCATCGTGTGAATTACTATAGCGTGCTCTAATTCTGGCATGGAATGATTCACTAAGCCATTACAGAAAGAACCCGCTCAGAAGTCTATCCGTTTGTCTGGGGCCGATACATTTCTGTCTTTATTTATTGAAAGGTATGAAGTTGACACAATAACAATGTGATTGCAAGGCACATATTTGTGTCATGTTAAATACAAATGGCAGAGAATGTGAGAAGTGTGGCAGAAGTCAGTTTCTTGCGAGTGGTTTCTGTTTGGTGCGTTAAGGTTAGACACTCTGAAAGCCTCTCTCCTCTCACTTCTTCATTACCGCCGCCTTTAAAATGTAAATGAAACAGTTGAGGTTGCAACTTCCTCCTCATAGTTGTGACAGAACGGAGAGGCCCCTCAGTCTTAAGTAAATACATTGATTGTCTCTAATAGGGAGGTGTGTGGCGCAGTGGATTAGTGCGTTAGTGTTCGGATCTACAGGTTCAAACCCCACTGCAGTCAGCATGTCGTTGTGTCCCTGGGTGAGACACTTCACCCCAAATTGCTCCTGTGGGGATTGTCTAACAAGTGACATGTAATGTAATATTTCCAGAATAGAATATACTACACGAGGGTATTTTCACACCCTTCTCTCCGGGATGTTTTCTGCCGAGTATGGCGATGAAGTGACATGGTGCGAGCATGAATGGTTGGTCCTGGTCTGCTTTCAGAGCCTCTGAATGCCCCTGAGTGCACTCCTCCTGTAATAGCAACGTGAACAATGAGAAAGAGCCCCTGCATCACTTAATGGTTTAATGTATGTATGACATAACTGAGAGGGACATTGTGATTAAGAACAATAAGCTCTGATGTATTTCTGGAAGGGGGCATTTTATAACATGCAAACGCGGGTTATGTTGAGAGATTTTGAGTATAAAAGCAGATGCTTACATAAATATGTGTCATGACGGCAGCAGCTTCTGCATATTTTAGGACTATTACATCAGGGTTTTGTTGAAAATCACATTTTTCGTTCTCTTTTTCTGGCTCAATTGAAAGTACAATGATTATCTAAACCATTACGACATCATTTATTTAAACAGGACCAATTCATCAACAATGAGAATGTTCTTTGTACTTGAAGGACCTCGTTTCTTTGTTCACACAGTCGATGGCTTTCAGAAAGGATATTAATGACTACTGTTCCTTTGTGTCATTTTAAACATTTCACTGAATTGTCCAGGGACATTTTTAAAGTCTGCAAATGGACATTTTTCTAAAGAGACTAGAGACTTTGCTGCCACAGAGAATTAACTCCCACAATGATAAAACTGAATATTTGTCATAATCTCAACAGAGCAGAGCTGAAAGTACTTACTAGACAGAAATAAAACAGCAGCAAGCCTCGGCCCAAACCAAAGAGGCCTGAAACTTTCAGAGCAGTGGTCAACGGGGGCCAGGTGACAACAGAGAGCGCCAGCTGAGAGGATCCACCGGAGGCTTACACTGCCAACATCCTGCCATTTGATGAGGAGGAGGCTCCAACTGCCCCCCCCTCGCTGAGCGCCCCCACAGGGAGCCCGCCGGGGTGTAGCCGTGCAAAATGGCTCCAAATGAGAGGAATGATAGGATGCTGACTCAGAGCAGAACCAAATCTGCCCGGTAACCTTGCAACGTGCAATCATAATGACTGAGTGCAAAGACAGAACAAAGTCACTTTGCTGGTTTCTATGCTGGATTTAGACACGGATGTTCTGTAAGGGAAACGCTTCAAATGAACTTTTTTGTAATCTGTTTTTTTCTTGTATTATCAAGTAACGGCTATTGGCTGAAGCTGATGTTTTGTGGACATGGAGATTTACCAAAGCAGGAAAAAACAATGTGAGCTAAAGTTGAAATCTTTTTAGAAAAAAAAAGCATCAGTGACTCAATCTTACCGCACAACTGTGATGCCGCTAACACACATTATTCAGTGCAACCACACACCTGCATTTCAACGGCAAACAACAACAACATAGGGCGGTGGTGGCGAAGTCGATAGGGACTTGGCTTGGCAACTGGAAGGTCACCAGTTCAAGTCCCGGCAAGATCAAGTGAGTGCTATCGAGGTGAACCTGAGCAAGGCACCGTTCCCTACACTGCTCCCCGGGCGCCGTACATAATGGCAGCCCACTGCTCCTAACACTAGGATGGGTCAAATGCAGAGAAACCATTTCCTGCTTTTACAACAATAATGGCTGTTTTTAATGTCAGGGGTTACAGTTGACTGATGGAGCGTTTAACAGTATTTGAATGGCTCTAGTAGACAATAGGAACAGGATCTGAATCCACAACATGACACACACACACACATGTACCGTACACACACACAAGCTCAGTTGGCTCGTTTGGTGCAGGAAATAAAAGTAGGCCGATCGATTGAAGAGTCTCCTCTGACTCTGCTCCCCTCCTACTCAACCTGGAATAGCACCACAGAAGAAGCCTTTCAAAGGAAGAGCCGGCCCTCGGTTGTCGGTTATTATACTAAAATAGCAGAACTCTTGCGCATGTATGCTATTTTGGGTCATGGACATTTTCGTTTATATCTAAGGGCTTGGGCCAAAAAAAAGTACAGGAGTTTTTTCTGTTGGCTTGTTTCACATTTTAAACTTCAGCTGTGTTAGCTCCAGTGCGACTGTTCCCTTACTGAAAACACTCGAATACAGTCAGGCAGAAACCACCAATCGTCAAGTGTCAAATAAAACTCAAAATGTGCTTGTATTCTGAATTTCACCGTATCAAGCAGAAACGATAAGTGAGGTAAGAAAATAAGTTTCTATTCATTTATTTTGCCATGATAGTGAACTATATAAACTTGGGTTTTACACTGTTGGGTAAAACAAGAAATCGAAATATCAACTTGTGCTCTGCTAAATCATGATTTAATCAGCCAAACTATAAAAAAGTTAATTGAGAAAAACAGATGAATCAATATGGCACATTCTGAAATGAACTCATTATTTTCAGCCCTAATCCACATATCTATTATCTCTTATCATCACTGAGAAACAGAGATGTATTCCTCACTAATAACATAATGGCTGACATGTTACGGTCATACATGTTCGAGGCGATTCAATTATGGAAAATAACGAAAACGAACGGGCGCTAATTGCTAAACTACTTTACCAATTGAGCGCATTTCATTATGATTTGGGAAACACTTCTTTACGAGAGAAGGCAATTAATAAAGCAGTAGTGTTTGGCAAAAAATCAATCATTCCGTTTTCATGGAGATAATTATGGACTAAAATGTGGCACAATGGCTTCAGTTATAGCAGTGTTACTGTGAAAGGCCTTACATGTTGAATCTGTGCCACTGCTTTGACAAATAACACACTCTGGATTAAGGTATGGTTAGTATTTTATAAATAAAAGGTATACTGCTTGAGTAAGAATTCGACTATTCTGACACGTACTGTCGAGTAAACGCAGCGCAGTGTTTGGCAGCAGAACAAAAGTCAGTGTTGGCTGATAAGCTGCATACGGTTAGCGCCGTGATGTCATGCATTCACCATAAAGAATAACTGCATGTACAGGGAAACCCATTCAAAGTTGACCCTGATGGAAAACATCACACCCTCATGCCAGTCAGGAACACTGACACAATGCCTTCAGGTCACACTCACTTATCCCTCCTTCACGTCAAGTGGAACTGCATTTATTGTTAAAAATGCTAATGTCAACCACAGTGAATACCACATTGAATGAGGTAGCCATGCAGCTCAATGTAAATTAAATGGCCCGTCCTCTGAGTGCACTGGCTTATGTAAGCTGCTTGTCTCTACCCCCCCCCCCCGAGCTCTCCATCCTTGCCTTTCTTTCCCTTCAGCAGCCTTATCCATCCCCTGAAACCCAAATGTCTCGTAAACACACAGCCCCGTCTTAAATTGGAGAGTGCAGGGGGTGGAGAGGGGGCTGAGGAGGGGGAGGCCTGTAGCACGCAGCCCTCATTTTTCTCTGCCACCTTGAAAACAACACCCCAATCCCTTGGTTGTGGTTCTCCATTCCATCGTTGTTTGTGCACAGTAGACTCACAAAGCTCTCCGTCAACACAAACTGGTCTTAGAACATCCAAATATCTAGGAAAAAGAAACCCTGCTCTTCTTCTTCTTTTTGTTACTGCATCTTCGTTCTCTCTGTCTCCCCTTTCATTCTCTCAGTGTCCCTCCATCCATGCCTCCCCTCCCCTCCTCCTCCCCTCCCCTCCACCTTGCCCTCATCTCTAAACCTGCAGCCGAAAAAGCGCTCCGTGGCGAGGTTTTCGCAGTGGCGTCTTGACAATGTCACAACTGCGTTTTCTGAG